CAATGATTGGTTGGTTTTGGGCGAATCATCTCTTTTTTAATCTGCATCGTCTCTGATTTGGTTTTGTTACCTGCTGCTTTCACAGTCAGACTGAAGCAGCCTGTATGAGATGACCTCATGTTCAGGTACATGTGTGTGCTGCAGGCACAGACGGGGGGAGCAGCAGGCTGCCTGCTGTCAACACTCACAATTTATGATACCTCACCTCACTTTGAGGAACAGCTGCTATTTGTACACACTGACAGTTGGAAGCACTTCACACACAGATACACACAGAAAGCAAAGGAAAAACAAGTCACAGTGTTTTGGCCAAACACTATGAAAATAAGTCTTAAAATGTTGTTTCATTAAATACATCTGTGGGTTTGGGGATTGGAGGGGAGATGGAAATGTAAGTAAAAAGGGTTTTCTGTTGTGGGTGCATGTGACAAAAGAGGAAACCATGGAGACTTAAAAGAATAATGTACTTCTGCTTAAATACAAATGCAGTTATTAAAGAAAAACAGAATAAAAAAGTTCTGTGGAACAAAAGCCAGAAAGTTTGACACAAAATCAAACTAAAAGTCCTTCACTTATGCTACGAATACTAACATCTAGGAGTATGAGTCCTGACAAGCTCAGGGTCAGAGCATAAGGAACTGGAAACTACTAAACTCTGATAAAATGTTTGTGAACCAGCTGATAGAAATGCATCATGTTTATTTATACATGTAACAAACTATGTGAAGCAGCTGAGTATATAGAGCATGGATGTAACAACTGTAACGTCACCTATTGCTTTGTGTAGCCTCGGCGTTAAAGTACCGGCAGCGGTGAACGTTAACATTTATGACGTGGAAACGAGCATTATCAGCTGTAGAGCACAGACACTAACAAAACACAATAGCTTCACTCAGTAAAAATCTTCCTTGATAGTCTGTACCACACAGTTTGTAACGGCAGACACTCAGCAGCACAATCCTGTTGGAAAAGTCCGGACAGTAACCGGAATTAGTGGAAGTTCTGACTCGTGGTTACTTTTAAGTCTTACTCATCATTTGGAAAAAGAAAACAAAATCCCGACCATTGTGCATCTGTGTGTGCAAACGTGCTTTTTAATGCTGTTCAGGCACTTTGACAGTGCTGTCTATAGGGGACGACTCACTTTTGGGGGGAGTTGTGTTACAAGTAACCTGTGGCTGAACCCTGAACACACTTCCTCTGGTTACAGGGCCGACTCTCAGGAAAGGCTTCAAAACAAGAAAGAAAGAAGTAAAGCTCCGTAATGACACGCATGCCCCAAAAACTGCAAATGGAAAAAACGTTTTAA